ATTGCTCAAGTTATGGCGCTTCAAACATGCCTTTTACAGATTGGTGTGAAGAAAACGACATGAGCCCACCCCTCTCTTTAAGAATGTTACCTTTAACCCCTGATTTTACACATTTTCAACTCCGTTAATACTCTTCACTTTTTAAAAAGTCAAACTGAAGATAGTTAGGGACGGGGCATTTGGCCAGTTGTGCTGGAATGACCCCACACATAAAAAATGAGAACATAGTTTTGTCAAGATACTATGACAGCTTCTGGTTACACCTTGAATTCCTTTCTGCTGATCTTTGGAAGACATATGGATTTCCTGACTGATCCACAGTGGAAATTCTTTCTTCTCACCACACCAAGACCAGATAACAGAAACCTGCACTAGATAACAAGGCACAGCAACCTTTGCACAGAATGACAGCGTGTCTTTAGCTGGTATCACGTATTATATCATGTATTGTGGGGACCAACTGAATGAGTAGCCAGTTGTGTTTGTCTCGGCAAACTTTATTTGCATCCAAGCGGTTATTTGTTAATCAAAGCTTCTTCTTTTGGTGTCCATTTAAAAAAACATTCAAATCATTTCCCGTCTGATTCATGCCTGTGACCTCCTGTGTTGCTGTTTGGACAGGTGGAGGACGGGATGGTGTGCCTCCGCCGTGAAGAGACTTTTATCGAATCATGCACTGAAGCCCCTGATCCCCCCCTTCTGCCTGGTGCTGGTGGTGATATATGGCCTGGCTGACAGGCTCAGGAACTTTGTGGCCGGCATCTTCATCCCTCAGTATCACTACCCGTATCCTGTGGCTCTCTGCTTCGGAGAGGTTGGTGCCTCACTGCAGCCTGGATTTGCTTTTTTGGACAATTCCCACTTTGGTTAGATTGAATAATCATTACGCATTTGCAAAGGCTGGTTAAAAGCGTGTGAAAGGAAAGCTGCGCACTGCACAAGGTCACTCACATGCCGTTTAGTTCACACACAGAGTAACGTGTCTCCTGACAGTCGGGTATTTGCAATTACATTTGTAGTGTCTCTGAAAGCGTTTAGCCATACAACATACCTGCACTGAAAAAAGTAATGCGTCACCATAAAAGTAAGAACAGTCACTGACAGCTTCATGTTTTATTGGAGCGTTGTATTTATTGGTGCAGTTAACTTTCACATGACCATTTCAACTCAGTATTTGCTGTGCGAGCTGGTTTGAAGGACGTGGTGGAGAGTCGGCTGTGGCGGGGAGTGACAGTCAGGCCTTAATGCCGCTGAACACATGATAGATGTTTAACCAAACGACAGTCCAAAGGCCTGGCATGTGAATGTGAACCTGTTCAAAGGTTACAGGAGGCGCTTGAGTGAGTTTTCTAAATGAAAGTCACTTATGTCCACAGATTGACCTTCACTGTTTATGTTTAGTTCTGGTTGAGTGTAATGTAGTGAAAATGTAGAGGTCTGATAGACATAGTCTGATAGACATACCGTTTACTTTGCGTGATGTCATCTCAGATGTTTTGGAGAGGCTGTAAACTCATAACAGCAGCTCACAGGTTCAACATTGTAGTGAATTAGAGAAGTTTGGTTGGTATGTTGTACATCTTGTGTACACATCCTTTATATTAGTTCTCCATTTCTGTTCTTATTTATGAAACCTACGTATTATGCTTCAAATGAACAGAAGAATAAGCCGGCATGTGAAGAGGATGTTTTCAGTTTTACAAAGGGGTCTTCTCACTGAATATAGTTAAATATTATTTAGAAAATAGCAAGTTTTAATTTATTAAAAGCCATATAAATTATAGTCAGTTGAGCATATTGACACATATTAAGGCTTCAACCAACGATTATCTTCATTATCAAATTTTCCAATATTCATTTTTACGATTAGGTCATTATTATTATTAACAAAACTAAAATGTAGTCACCAACATTTTTGTCCAACATCTCAAAAAGGGATTAAATATACAGTTAAAATGATGCTGAAAATATTTGACCTTTTGGTTATGTTTTTTCTTGTTTTGTTTTTTTTGTGACCGATTAATTCAATCCACTTATTGTGTAAAGAAATAGATGACTAGATGCAAACTCCCTCTTGGTTTGCATGATTTGCATTCAAGTGTCAAAACATGTCCGACTTTTACAAGATGTGTCACCTTCCTGAGAAATCTCATGGCCATAAACACCTTCTCCAATCATTACCGACGTGACTAACAGCGACTGTGTTGAACTCACATTAATCAGTAATTTAATGGCTCACGTCAACATGACAAAAACACTTCTGCTTTCTTGTGGAGGCTTCGGTTGCTAGATCAGTCATTAACACTATCTAATCTTCTCCAGGTTCTGGTTTCCCTCCTGTTCCTAAATCTCCTCCATGTCCTGACCCTGGTGCCTCTGAAACGTTACTCCAGGCGGCTGGGTGAGAGGCTGCTGCTGCCTGCGATATGTGACGGCGCTCAGGCGGTGCTGGTCATGTGGGCCAAGTCCAGGAGCTCGTACGGCTTCTTCCTCCTCACGCTGCCTCTGCTGGCACCACTGACTGTGGCCTTCAGCATCGTCCTGAAGCTTCAATCCCCGATATCTATCCACATCACTGCTCTGATTTCCATAATGAGTGGAACCTCTGTTGTCATCACAGGTAAACCTTTAGATGTCATTGGAGGTGAAATTCAGGGTTTCATCTCTTATTAACTTCGTCTTTTCTCTCTCCAGCATCCAAGGGTTTCTCTGGTGTCGACCCTCTGGAGTACATCTACGCGTCCCTGGCTTTAATCCTACACGGTGTCTCTCTGACGTTGCTGGCTAAAGTGGCCGAAGCTGAGCGCCAGCAGCCTCCTGGTGCCCAGGCCTCGGTTTTTGACATCTACTACACCCAGCTGGTGAACCAGAGCTGGGTGCTGGGCCTGCTGTGGCTGCTGCACCCAGACGCTCCCTGGAAGGTGTTGCGTCAGGGCAGCTGGCACAACCTGCTCTTCCACGGATACCTGCTCGCTATCCTGCTGCTGGGGATGGTGCTGAAGTTCCTGGTGGGTATTTCGGCTCTGTGCGTGTCGCCGCCTGCTGCCGCACTCCTCCACTCGGCAAAGCAGGTGGTTCAGCCGTTTGTTCGTCTTCTGTAGTTTGACTCGGTGAGGACTACGGAAGGTCATCGACTGTTTTGTACTGTACTATGACAACATGCACACACCAATACTGAATCACGGACCCCAGTGTTGTGTTATTCTCCTTCTGACTCACAAAATAAAGTCATAAAATACAGATCCTCAGCATGGAGAAGCAGCACGCATGAGGTAACTGTAATCATGATGGCTAATTGCAAACATATGGCACACTAATGATTTACAGTTGGGTCCAAAGGTCCAAATAAGGAAGTGTATTTTTAATTTTTTTATTAACTAGTAATCAATCATCAGGTGTGGTCTGAGATGACTACATATGGAAATGACGTGGATTATGACTCTCAGGCTGCACCTGTTGTTGCTGCATTATATTTATCACTAATGTGCTACATATGCCGTTGATGCAGGCTTCTTTCTGCATAAACACCACTTCTGTTGTTACTCTCTCAGTGCACTTTAGTTGTTAAATGTGTGTGACAATGTGTCAGAGAACTGAGGCAACTGAACATCTGTACAAGATAGAACACAGTGTAATCAAAACATGTGAAGACCCAAACAAACATCACCCTGTTCTGGTTATAGAACATCATGTGGCTTTTAAAACAAGGACAGACTAACTTTGGCCTTAAAGATGTGCTCCGATGCATGTCAAGTTTATTTTTAATTTTAACACACCCTTGTTGTGTTTTTTTGTATGTGAGAAGACATATTATGAGGAAAATATCAACCTTGTGGTCGAGCTTCTCACCTTGAAACTGTAAAGTACAGATGATACCGATTCAGACATCTGGAGGTTTATACGTAACATATGTTCAGGGTGGAGCTTCCTGTGTCATTATTCCTCATCACTGAATTGCTCCAATACCACAGCTTACCATTGTGTAGTTCAGAGTAGTTTTACAGTGTTGTAGGTGAGCTGGTGTGCTTGAGCAGCAGTGAGTGGGGAGGGGTGCATGGAGAAAAAGGCAGGAACTTTATAGACCTGCACATCCAAGCCATTTGAAGACATTAAGGGATTGTTTTCATGGAATAAAGAAACTTCTTTACACGTTATTTTGATACGAGAGGAACAATGACTGTGGCTCTAATAGGAAATATGTTTCAAACCCTTTGGCAATAAGACAAATGAGCAGGTGAGACAATCAAGGTTTCATTTAAAGCTCAAGGTGGTACTCTAGTGTCCAACGTGTATCAATAGACATCTTTTTTTTCCTCATGTATATGAATGAAAAGATGAGTAAATTTGAGATGTTAGCATTATTGTCTGATACTGGAAGTGGGAACACTTCAAGGTGGTCACAGACTTTTGGACCCAACTGTATGTGCAACATAATTAACAGTATTTAAGCGACTAAAGCTCCTGTTTTTACTTCTCACCGAATGTGTTTTCAACCAGAGCTCGAAGAAAAGTTGTCCTTCAATGACTCTGAAGGCTTTTTCAGATGAAAGGGGATAACGATGAAGAACAGGTTGAACTTTGCATAAATGTTTGAGCCCCGTTTATTACATGTTTATTTAACAGTGTTAAAAATATGTGAACTCAAATCATTGACTAAATGAATTTTTAACCAGCAGTTGGTTAAAGTTGCCCTTGAATGAATCTGACCGTTAAAATGTCAGATGAGAAGGGCTCACGATGAGGAGAGTGTTACACAGAAGCTCTAGTGAGGCTGTTGTATTTTATTTGAGAATATCTTTTTTTTTAAAGGAGTTATTATCCGAAGCTCAATTGCATTTTAATTTAAGTAAGTTATTTTTGATATTTTTAAAAATGTGGATATGTATTATATTTAAAAATGTAAATTATATCATTACTGATGCTTTAAAAAAAATACTGTGAAAAATGCTGTAAAACAAAGATAATCTGTAAACACGGAATAAAGTGAAATGAGACTGGACTTTATTTAGAAAACAGTATTTATTCTACGTGTAACAACCAAACACACATGTATCCCGACATGACACAAAACAGGATTCACAGTAAACATGACAGAAATAGTTCATAGCTGCATAATCTTACGTTTACATGAAGTGTATCGTGATTTCAAACAGAGGTAATGGAGAGAGTCTTTCGTCTTCTTTGTCTTGCACTCGGTTTTAAGGTTCTAACATGATTTCCCCAACCTACTCTTTACTCGAAATGTTTTAGATAACAAGACAAAACTGTTAGAGAAATCTGAAATCCACACTTCAGTCACATTTAAAATTCTGATGGCAAAACAGACACGGAAAATTTACAGTGCAACCAAGATTGAAGTTTATCTGGTGCACATGTATGAGCCTCCATTTAATAAACTCCAAACAATTCAAAATGAGTTTTCCAACTGCAGTACAGTAAATATCTTGTCTAGTCCTGAAGAAGAAACTATGCGCTGTAATGTAAACAAACCACCATAAAGCTCTAAGGGACATCTTCAACATCCTTTGGCAACAGAAGAATGTAACGAAGGCACTTCGTCATTGCTGGTGTGTTACTTCTCATTCAAACACTGCCTCATTCACTGTTTGAGTCTATGTGTTGTCCTTTATGAGCGATCAGCGTTGGGTGGTAGGTGTATCCCCAGGCTCTGCAGCAGGTTGGAAGCCGGTCCGGCCAACCCAGCCTGGCAGCTGAGGGACTCCAACAGGTTTGTGACCAGGTTGATGTCCACGTCTAAAGGCTGGATCTCCTCCTCGGTTTCTTCAACTTCTCCCTCTCTACCCAGAGAGGGGTGAGAGGAGCCATTGTCCGAGCTGGCCTTGCTGTAAATCTGCAGAAAGGACAGATGTAGATTCAGGAAGATACAGATGTTGAGGTTAGGGTTGAGCAGAGGGAGACGTGATGAGGATGTAATTACAATCCGTATTTACCGTTTGATTGAAGCTTTGTCCGATATTAGTGCCCATCAACTCCTGATCCATTTGGTCCATGTATCTTTTGAGGCTGTCCAAAGTTTCTGCCCCGTTCATCTCTGCATGACCTACGGAGGCCTCTTCTTTCTCTTCCTCCACCTCCTCCTCATCTTCTTCATCATCATCATCATCATCATCATCATCCAGATCGTCTGAGTCCAGCTCGTCTTCTTTGCTTGCTAATTATAAAAACAAAGGACAGACAGAGAGATTCAGTAAGGAACAAGTTTCAGCTGCGTATCTGTACATCTTTCATGACTTCTACATACCCAGTAGTCTGTCCAGTGCGTTAGACATGGACTCTGGGTCAAAGCTAAAGGGCTGAGTTGAACTGCTCCTGGAATACAAAGAAAGACAATGTGAGGCCTGAAACCGCAAGACTGTTTGCATGACTGTCTAAACACATTAGTAAGAAAGGCTGGAGTGTAAATACAGCAGCATTCACAGCTCAGGTAGACAAGGCAAAATTATGAACATAAGCACATTAAAACTAGACTTTGGTCAGACTTACTGCACCCACCAAGTGTGTGTGTGAGATTTTCTGTTTATTACCTTTTAGTAAATCATTACATTCATTGACTATAATTTGAATTTCAATCAGGCCTCATAGTCATTTAGTCTCACCAGGGCAGTTCGGCACCCTCATGCGACGACATGGCGTTGAGGAAGTTCTTCATCCCTTGACTGACGGCTACCAGGCTGTAACCGGCCTCCTCTTCCTCCTTGGTGTCCTCCGCCTTCTCTCCCTTCCCCTCTGCTTCCCCGACACGCTGCGCCTGCTTGGTGGAGCTGGAGGGGTTTCGGCTGCCAACATCAGCTAACCCCCCGCTTCTCTCCTGCAGCAGCCGCTCCAAATCCTGAGCTGTGATATCCAGCCAGCTGTCACCTGGAGATTGACACAAAGAGAAACTAATTATGGGATATGGTTGAAAGAGAGGAAGGTAGAGAATGGGGGATGCATACCAAAAAAGGGACAGGAAGTGAAAGGAACTGGAAGGAAGAATCCCAGGTGGAGGGAGCAGACCAACAAAGGCACCGTTTACTTTCTCACAAGGTCATACAAATGTTACAGCATGTACTTTTATTTAAGTAAAATACAAGCCATCATAGGCAGACTTCAGCTAGCTAAATGTTGTATAATTATACATTTCTATTGATCTGTAAACGATGAACAATCTCAAGTGAGAAAATTACACTTTAGTGAGGAGTAATGTCTTTCATGTGAAGTACGGAACCCAGTTTCTTTAATTTCAAACCTTCTCATTGTGCAGGAAATACTTACAATACACCTGCCAGAATTTATCATCAGCTGTAAGTAAAAATAAGTCTATATGTTCACATATTTTGATTTGGCAAAATTTCTGCTGACGAGACTGGTCAACTTTCGATCCAAATATTTTTGAGACACTTTCACATTGGCAACATTCAATATGCTCAACATCCAATATGCTCAACATCCAGTATGGCAACATGCTTGAAACGTATTGCAAATACCTTTCAAGCTAAAGACGGTTTAAGCATTTCATTGTCAAATAATTAAGTGTTTCTAGTCAGCTCTTTCACTTACTGTCCTCTTGGGGGAGCTCTGACTCGCGTTTCTTCAACTCCTCCAAGTTGAATGGAGGGCAGCTGTGCAGCAGCTGGAGAACCTCCTCACCTGGAGACAATGTACTGAGAAAACACAACAGGTACATTTAGAAAGACACACCTGGATGTCAAAGGCGGGTGTGTTGACTCAGAGTGAGTCATGTATAATTGCAGCCATGAACCTCACCTTGATGTTGAGGCGACTGACTGTTTAAAGAAGTTTTCTGCAGATCTTGTAAGTTCTCTGTAATGAGCCGAACCTTCCAGTTCTCCCTGCAATTGACAACAATTAAAAAAAAAAAAAAAAAACTTTGACAGTAGACACATGCTTAGTATATTGCATTTTCAATAAACCCTATTAAACTTAAATTGTATGCTTTTAACTTTAACAAATGGTGCGCTAAAAAAGTGAAACTAACCCGGAAGTAGCCGTTCCTCTTCAGACTGTCCATGAAGCCTTTCCACTGAGGGTTACAGCTGACCGGGGCATCAGGCTCTGAGGAAGGCAGTCTGCACTTAGAGCACAGGATCTCAAAGCCATGAGCCTGGGAGTGGAGGAAAAAACACAGATATGCACTTTTGTTAAACATGCAAAACACCCCGTTATCTGCATTCTTGCTTGCAGTAAATGCATGAAGGATGAAGAAAAACACAGATGATGTCTCACCAGTTTCATGCCAAGCTCATGAGCCTTGTACTGGGGCTGAGAGCGAGGAGGCAGGGTGAAGCCGCTCCGTCGGTCTGGGGTGAACTCTTGCTGCTGCAGCTGCGCATACAGGCAACAGGTGAACGTCACCTGGAAATATACATCAAAGCACAAAGGCTGAAACAAACCACCGAAAATATTAACACAAATAGTTATTACAGGAGTGCGCATTAAAACATCTGTTTTAAAAACATCACAGAATAACAATATCTGGACAAGAAGGTTTCCTTTTTAATCGTTAAATGTGAATCCTTTGCCTAGAGCTCTTCAGTCTAAAATATTTGCACGTGTTTACCAGTGTGAGGACTCTTGTATCAGGAGGAAAGGTCTTGAAGCTTCGACACGCCTGCAGATCGACTGGATCGCGCAGGTAGAACGCTGAAACTGCAGGAGCAACCAAGTCTGGTCGCTGTGCCAACACGGTGGCAATACCTGCAGGTATGAAGCAGTGGGAACGGTGGAGGCTGGTTTTTATCTTCTCTGGGTATCTGAGTGGAAAGTAAAGATTGATGCATGTTCATTTCATCATCTATTGATATTAATACATCTTAGGCTTCTGCAAGTCTTTTATAAAGGTTGTGGTTGTATTCAACATTGATTCTGCATCTTAAAACCTTGTGTTCTGACATTTAAATAGCCAATAATACCACAGACCACCAATGCTGATACTGATGTAATCATATTTTCACTTGTGTTTACAGCAGGAATGCACAGACAACACGCCAAATGTATTTATCACAATGTTATCAGACTTTTCTCATGTTCAGAATCCGTCTTACCCCTCTAGTCTTTTCCTCAGGGCTGAACAAATCTTGGGGCTTGCCTGACAGGCTTCTGGGTGGGCAGAAAGAAGGGCCAGAGCTTGTGCCACACTGGGTACCACATCGTTTGAGAAGCCCACGGAACTGGATTTAGAGGGACGAGGCAGAATATGCAACTCTCCTTGAAAAATAAAGACCTGCAAAAGAAAAAGAGTGGAGAAATGAAGGCGTGAACACAGACAAGATGTAAAAAGGCTGTACCGGTAGCTCACATGTCTTTTTACTTTACACTACTCACACATGTGATGACTTTACACTAATGTTAACTATATATATATCATACTCATAACTAAAGGTTTTAGGTTGATCTCATTCCTTTAATGGCAGCTGTTTGTTCATCCCACTAAAGTATGACCAGGCAAAGACTTGAAGATTATCAGAAAAAAATATTTAGTTTTTTGCTAAATTTATGTAAGAATGCACCAAAATGGACCAATGTCATTGAATATACAGCAGAAAAATTTCCACTTGTATTTGGGCCAGTCAGTGTTTAGGAGATAAAAGATCCTCATCATATCTGGCATCTGATTTGAATGACTCACCCTGTTTTCACTGGTGTCTGGGTTCAGCCACTTGGGCAGATAATCTGCTGCTTCAATCAGAATAAACTCCCCGTCGTTATCTTCAACTCTGCACACAAAATTAAAGTTGGAAGCTGAAACACATGTGACTGATAAACACTTTAATACAGCAATCATTATTTTTACTTTAAGAAAAATCTGAACTTCCGTCTTACCTGGCTGTGAGCTCGGGGAACGCCTCTGTGATTTGCTGCAGAAGATAAACAATAAACCACTCGTCCTCAACATTGTCTCCAAACTGAGTGCTGCCTCCAATATGAGCAGGAACACCTCCTGTCAATAAACAGAACAGATAACATTCTTCAGTGTACCAATCAAGTCTTTATAGACACATTTTATGGTCTAAATTGCTTCATATTTGTGCTTCTGACCTTTCTCCGGGTGATACTTGAGGTTGAATGGCTGATGCTGCCAGATGTACTGCATCAGGAGTGGAGCAACTTTTGCTAAAATCTCCTCTAGTAGATGAGCGAGGCGTGTTTCAGTCTCCTCTGAAGTTGAACCGTCTGGCTGGATCAAGAAGAGTTTGTACTGGACCACGTCCTCCTGAATCACTTTCCTCTGCAGGGCGTCCATAGTTGTAGTTTTTTTTGGAAGACCTGATTGTAAAAGATATTATCTGTAAGGTCTGCACTGAGAGCTAATCCAACATTATGTCTCTATTCTATGAAGATTCCCAGTCATCCAGGTCATGCTTAGTTTAATCGTAACAACTGGACTTGCTTGAGTTCCTTGAAGACGTTTCACCTCTCATCCAAGAGGCTTCATCAGTTCTGACTGACTAGTTGGGAGTTCCACATACTTATATCCTAAAGGAGCCATTAACACCTGAGTTTCGGTATCAGATGGGGGTTGTTGTTCCCCTCCCCCCTCGTTATGCGAGTCTTTCGTGCTCCCCCTGCCACAATGGCGTTCGTCAGGGTCTTTTGTGGCTAGGTGTGAATGTGGTTTCACCTTTCTGGGGAGAGTTTTTAGGACTGAATTGTAAACATTTTAGACCTTCACTTCTGTTAAGTTTGAAATAGATGGCTTCTTTCACTCCTCTCTCAAACCATTGTCCTCCCTGGCCTAAATCTATACATTACTGTCTACAATAGATTCAAGTGAAGACAATGATGTACAGATTAACGACGCGGATAACGAGGGGGGAGGGGAACAACAAACACCAGTTAAAACAAACTCAGCGTTAATGGCTCCTTAAGGATATAAGTATCTGGAACTCCCAACTAGTCAGTCAGAACTGATGAAGCCTCTTGGATGAGAGGTGGAACATCTTCAAGAAACTCAAGAAAGTCCAGTTGTTACGATTAAACTACGAGAATTATGTCTGTAGATTCACCTACAAAACAAGACTTAAGTATTATGAGCTAAAGTCTCAGCCGTGTAGGCAGCAGCTAACCTTAATACGTGTTACTTTTAAAACTCACGACAGTCTCTTTGAATTGTCAGTCGAACTTACCTTGTCTTGTAACTAAACGGGATGTATTATGTCAAAATAATCCAGAGTGGCATCAATTCTGAAGAAAATGAAACTGTACTCAATTCTGTGTGCGTTGCTATCACGCCATCTGTGTCTGTTTAGGTCCTGCAGCGAATTACAGTCGACTGCCTCAATCGTGTCACACCAAAGGTTCCTACATTAAATATTTACAGTGTTCAGCTCTGCTACAAACTAAAATAATTTACACGGTCCCAATTTTAAATAGCATAACAAAAATCTACAGAATTTATGATATCAAATAATTAATAACATAGTGAGCATTTAGAGTTTAATCAACATCACGTCGGCTAAGGTCAAGCGGACACATTTAATGATCGTAGTTACGTTGTCGCAAAGAACGCCGGGAATTGTAGTAATTTGGCAATGTAGAGTTTGGCTAGTTTGTGGAAGTCCGAAATCCATTTCCCATGAGACCTCGGGGCCACGAAGTTGCGTATCCATGACAGCCGCGATATTGTTGTTGTCGGTGGTGCTAACCGTAGCTAACATTAGCAAAGATTATCCTCTCAGCAGGCGATAGCTAGCTTCACTAACGTTACCCACTCGTTTATTTTAAGACAAAAACTTAATCAATTGGCAACTTACGGAACAAACAAAATTCCTATTTAGTGTAGCAACGTTAATTTACCAGGACGTGAGGTTTTTGGGAAATTATACAATGCTATTCGTGCCTTGTTGATGTTTTACCTGCACCGCTAGCTAGCTAATTTTTACACGTAGCTTCCTCTTTAACATTAGCAGCAACAGTTTGAAACAACGTTAGCATCTGTGTCCAGAGAGCTGTCCAGTGGTTTTTTTAAGGGGTACGCTCAGGACTTTTGTACTAATGTTGGAGAAAATGTCAGACCTCCCTCCAAACTGTTTGAAGAGAGTCCTGGAAGCGGAGGCAAGAATGAAAGACGAGGACTTGAGCCTATAAAACGGAGACGAAGGAGAATGATTTCACGATACAACAGGAGACCTGTATCGCACAAACTAGAGATGTGAGTATCGTTATTTAAAGGGCAAAGCTGTATTTGCTATTTGATCATCTGTAAAGTATGTTTTTTCTAGCTGTCAGGGATTGATGCTACACTGGGAGGAAGCAGGATGAGTGACTGACTTGTCCAATGCTATCGATTGACAGCCTGAAATTAATGTTTGTATTGACCCAGTTAGTGACTGCCCATCTGGCCTGGTTTAGACATACAGCACATGATGATGTCCACCAGTTTATTAACCTACCAACCACACTAGTATTTGACTACGCCAGATTTCCTTATTTCCACAATATCATGGTGCAGAGAACAGTCAGATGCAGAAACTTATACATAAGTGTATTTAAAGGTATGCAAAACCACCAACATGATCTTTTAAAACTTATAAATCAACAAAAAACATGATTAACACAGATCACATATAACTGAAGAACATCATAATTACATATTTTATATAATTTTTGTTTTGTTTTGACTGGTGTCTGTATAATAAAAGGAAACACAGCATTATACTTTCATGTCAACCTGTTATGTTATTCCAGCTCAAAGCCCATCACTGGCATTAAACGCATCCCCAAAATAAAATACACTCTCTTTGTTAGTTACTTATTTTTTAAAAATTCAATACTCTCAATCTGTTTTCAGTCGTGGGTTGTCTCGAAGCAGCCTCGACCACCATCCTCTCCCGGAAGAAGCAGACGATAACCAAACCCCGCCGCGCTACCTCCACGACCTGCAGGAAGCTGTCTCCGCACACAACAGGTAACTCAGTTTTGGAAGTTCTACAGACGGACATACAGGCCTGGGTTGTACCGTAAGGAGGCAAATCTTGAGATTAAACTACTTACATCAAGTAAACACACACACACACTCTCGCTTGCGTGTTTTGTAATGTTACACCATCTCGAGTGGACAGCTGATTCCCAGGGTTCTTGCTATGTGACACCCAGAAGCAGTGGATTAATTCATATCACATTGCCTCCTTCAGATGTGCGGTTAAAAGAATAAATAATGAGGCAGCCTGTTAGAATATTCAATGACTTTGACATTTGCCCTTCATTTTCCACTTTGATTATATCACAACCCACCACCAGTTAGATTTCCTCTGCCACATAGCAGAAACTTGATTTACATTTTGACAGATATGTTAGGAATGGTTTGCAGTGGGAAGGAATGTTAGAAACTAAGACAACCTATGTGTCCCCAGTTTTCATTACTTTTCAAGCTGTGCACACTCCATGTAACCTCCTTGTCTTTCTGTTTAGCTCAGAGACGTCTGCTGCATCAGGCCACTCTGACTGTCCCACCGTCATCTCCGTAGACTCCAACCAGTCCTGGTCAGGTATCCACAGCTCCACAGGCACTGGCATCTCCACAGAGAGGAGCTCTGTTTTCTCCTGGGGCTACGATGTAAGTCTGCTCTGAAGACGACAATATCCTAATAGTGAACTGATGTTAGCTGTTTGCGCACACACTCACGCGGGACATGTTTTTCCTCGAGCATTTTCTCATCCTTGCTGTTAGTCTGATTCTACAAACAGACAAACACGCACATGTTGATGTCGAATTTTGATTTACTCACTAACATTTGTCACCTTTTTGGCAAATGTTTGGGAAACCATAGAAGAATATGCAACTAGTATTTGTGTTGTATAGCAGATGGCTTGTTTGTCTGCGACTTCTTTATTAATGCAAGGCATGATTCCACTGGGTATTGGTTTGTTATTTTGCTGGGCTTTCTAGACTCAGCTGGTCCTGCAAAACTTTTCCAAGACTCAATAATTTATTTAGTTCATTGTCCTCAAGTTGCTTCTGAGAAAGAGAAAAAAAAAAAAAACCTCAGTTATGCAACCTAACCTGCTGCTTGCTCTCCTCTTTCCTTGTCGCTCCCTTTTTTGATATCACATGAACAATCCAGCTTGACCACGAGCACATCTCGAGGGACCGTAGGAGCTAATTATCATGCACGTTGAAGCCTGCTGTGATGATGTGTCGCCAGTAACTGATGAACAGACTGAAAAGCAGCTGCTTTCTGTCATGGAGCTGGTGTATGAGAACAGAGGTATAACTACCTTTCTTTCCCGTGTTTCTCTCTGTTTCTCTGTCCCGTAGGAGTTCGACAAGGCAGCGTCACGGCAGGTGCAGCAAATGTTTGAGGAGATCGACAAAGAGCTGTACGAGGGGAGAGACGGCGGGGGAGGGATACTCCAGGGGCTGCAGGATGAATGTCAGCAGTGGGCCACGCGTTTCCCACATCTTCGGTATGTTATCCGCTGTTTCCTACCGGCTCCCAGCTCTTTGAGTTTCTGAGTGAAACATGGCAGCGGTGGGAACAAAGATTAAGGCTGATTGTGGAGAAAAACATTTCATTCTTGTTGGAAAACACATTTATATTTTACCTATTCTTTTTTTTTTTGTGTGTGCATGTGTTGCTCAGGATCCTGGGGACTCAGCTGCTGTGTCCCAGTGATGAGGGCTTCCAGTGGTACGCTACTTCAGGGAAAGGCAGCTCTGCCAGCAGCCCGTCAATAGGCAAAGAAAGCAGCGTGAAGTCCCAGGAGAAAGATAAGGGTTGCACAGAGTAAGTCTTCACTGCACTGACTCACTGGTTGGCTGACTGACAGGCTGTCAAAGTTCACCCGATACAGTTCCCCGAAGGCAGATTCAATTTTGTGCTAGTCATGTCATTCTATATGGTGATTTAACACATACTATAAATACATATATCAGTCATTCATTGGAATTGCGTTACTTCGAAACAGCTCAGGTGAAGTCTATTCAGTAATTGCTGGTAGTGAACTCTGTCAACACTAAATAACAAACACACAGAACAAATTACAGTGTTTTTGTTTGAAGCTGTGGCCCAAAAGAGCGACTGTGTGTTTGAAGAAATATTGCAATGTCTGTCTGTGTCTGCTGGCTGTCCAGATGACTGATGTTAGCGTGTCAATTATAGAGGAGTCCTGGCTTGCTGTGGTTTTGTGACCTAGATCCTCTGGCTTGTTAACTGAGTATTTAGGCTGAAGTCCTGCTGGTTAGATGTGCTGAAAAAGAGGCCACGACTGACACTGTTGATGGTCGACGAGGAGGCGCTAGACTATCTGACTAGTTCACCTCTAAACTGGGTTGACGCAACAGAGTTAAAATTAAATCAGACAGACTTGTACATATGCAAAAGTGTCTGCTAGTGCCAAGAATTTCATTCTGCTTCTCGACCCGGTGTTGTCAGACGGTATTTATTATTTATCGACAACATAGAGCTTCTGTCTGTGTCCATTTTGTGTGCACAGATTGAGGCGCTCAACTGTGTGTGCTCTTGTTTTGGGGAAAGTTTGAATGTGCAGGGCAGGAGGGCGGCGCTGATCAAGTCCTCCTCAGCTGAACTGGATGAACCTCCATGCACCTCCAGCAGCCATGACAAGCCCAGAGTGATTGAAGTAGAAGGTTTGATGGAGGAATATCTGGCTTTTGATAGCAGAGACTTGTGAGTTACTTGCTTTTTACAACTGTAAAATACCAAACCTAACGCTTCCACTGCTTGAATAAAAAGGGATTTGTTTTCTGTAGGGATGACGACTGGGACCAGGACTGTTCGGAGTCAGTACGGAGGCATCACTGCCTGCCCCCCGTCTCACCCTACCGGTGTCGCCGCCAAGCTGTCCTCGATCTGCTGTTTGATGATGTGTGGCGGCAGCTGGTTGGCTGCATGAAAGAGTTGGTCCAACGCCACTGGGAGTGCTGCACCTCACGTGGGGCTGAATTTCACTGTTTTGCATGCATTAGGACAAAAACTCTCTAACAAACGTACATTACTTATTTGGAAGTGAACCTACATGTGTGATTGGCAGATGACGACAAGATTTCTGGGAACTTGAGCCCCGTGCCGCAAGACTCCCAGAATCCCTTCATGCTGCTCTCCACACTGCCCACGATGCTTCCCAAACTTGGCCAGAGCCGGGTGCCCCCGCTCACTGCTGGTCTGCAGTTCCAGGTCAGTGGTCTGAGGGGGGGGCTGAGGGGTGTCTGGGTGCGTCTAGGGGGGCAGACTGGCATCCTCATTTAACCACTTTCA